ACACGCTACAGCATTAGGTCAGACAATGCTTTTGGGTGTGGCTAGACGAGTTGCATAAAGCATACAGGAAAATTTAATGGCTGTTCGGTTTTTTTGGAAATATTTCAATCGCTTCTCAAGTTTTATACAGTTGGTTAAATATTTTAAATACGTGCAATAATAAGAGCAAACAATGAGAGTTCAATTCAGTAGGTTAATTCACGTAGCCAAATCACCAGTCAGATTCACAAAAGCGTAGTGCTGAAAAAGTTATGAAACAGAAAAAAACAAGCAAGAAAAAACCCTGCTGAGAACAAACTGAAAGTTGTTTTTGAATATGTACATGTACAAGACGCAGCTGAAGAGCTGTCACGAAATTTATTCGTACCAATAAATTCTGCCGTCTATGCGTGTTTTAAATATTAACCTAATTAATATATGCATGCGGAACTTAAATTTATAAAAGTTATCTTATATCGTTTAAGTTAAAAGTTGCAAATAGTATAATCATGAAGGTTTCACATTATATTGTAGTATCCGATTTAAACAGGAAAAAAATAGGTTATTCCATTACAATTATGCCTAGACATTACTTTTTATAATTTGTAAAGCTAGTCATTTCAAGGAGTAAAACCTCAATAATACCACGTCCCTATAGAAATCTCTCATATTCTTGTATTTCGCGCAAAGATCATATCACACTTACTGCAGGCTTGTAATAAAGCTTTTGCATTGTGAAAGCGAGGAGTCGAGAACTCGGTCGACTGGACCCTACGCTCTACGTGAGTGAGAAGAATGAGGACCTCTATGATGTGCCGTTGGGTCACCTCGGTCGCCTCTGGTTCACCCTCTCCTATGACCAGACAAGCGAACGTTTGCATGTCACAGTACACAAGGCCCGCAATCTCCGCTCCCCCAACTATCGCTCACTCCGATTCTCAGTTGGCGTGCCGACGGATCTCACTGCTCTCAGTATTCTAACACCAGTTCAGACCCAAGACTGCCGTGTAAAGTGAGTTGTTGCACTTTTAAACATGTTTTATATCGCGATTGTACAGGGTACATTTGGCCAAATTGTGTTTTTGCGTGACGTCTACGTATGCTGGGCCAAGTGAAAATGATCACTCGCTTGCGCACGGGATGAAAATGGCTAACTGATTATTCGTCAATGTAAAAATCGATAATTCTGCGTATCAGAATGCGATGATGGACCTTATGCGTCAGCCGATGCGCAAAATTATAATTCTGGGTTAATTTATTGAACACATTTATACGTATGCCACTTTAACTGAAAAGACACAATAAACCATGACAGAAAGCTGCATTTCGGCGTTTAAAAACAGGCTGTTTCGCTAGGCAGCTGTTGAAGTACGTAAGCTGACTGAGTAACATACCTGTTTTTAACCTGAAATTTCTTTCTCAAATTCAAGCATTTTTGAAGATAGATTTATTCGTTCAGAAAAATCCAGACTTGCGAGTGTTTGAGAAAAGTCCACATAAATTATTCACTTGTGCAACAACAATGAGCATGCTGTTCTACGGGGTACACCCTGGTTTTTAGGAATGAATCAGTCCAACTTTATGGATGAAGAAATCTGTGCCTCCTTCCAAATTCCCTACTTACCGACTTTCCAGTCTGATCACACATAACGCTCTGGCATTCCAGTCAGCCTCGGCAGTGTGTTTTACAAATACGCGTATTACTAGCGCTTGAGTTTGGACCAAGTAAGGTGAGGCATTTTGCACGGGTAAGAATTTGAAGTAGGCGAAAGGAGCACAATCGTTTGATTCCAATAAATTTCGGGATGGCCTATCAACTTCAACCCGTGTTAATTGCCTTTAAAACTCAAAAGAGGAAAATGAGACGCGACGGGAAATATTCTAGCACAGATACCCGTCAGTATTTAATCTAGGTCCCAGATTTACGGGAAAATGGGCGAGTGACCACATAGACTAGCTGCTTGCATAGGTCAGTACTTTCCCATGGCATGTACGCTGCATTAACTAGAGGATCGATTTACTCGTGATCGAACAGGTACTCGAAAATATATTATGAATTTAACAAAGTAACCACTGAATAACAGGTTTTTTGTAATCGAGGACCGTGAAAGTCTACATTTTCATTTCATTAGGCAAATGAAACTTGCGCAAATGACTAATGCACAACCAACAAAACGGTTTCGTTCAAACGAACACTAAAATATCAGTTTTCCTGTGAGACTTCAGTTTAGTTTACTGATATGTAGGGGATGCTTAACTTTAAAAATAAATTAAAATGTATTGAACACTTTCAGCAGTCGTTCGCCTTCAGACCATACCTCCATATCGAATATTTTTCTCTTTGCAATTCAACAACGCATGTAAGAAAAACAACCAATTATTTTGCCTGTGATTTAAATTATGTTATATAAAACTTTCCTGGTTCATGCACTTCTCAGGCCGTCGAAAAAAAGATGACCTACAAATGTAAAGTTTACTATTAATTATTTCGAGTGATCATGCGATTAGTCAAACCAACATTATGCAAGCAAGAAGCGTTTATCCAAGCCCTGTATCTCCTCTGGCCTATGATAAACTTAGTATATTTTTTCATACCATCTCCCACCAAGTATTACAGCGACGATGCACAAACAGTACTAAAGTGTATACCTCTTTACCCTTTCATCTAAAGCCTCACAGGAGTAGACTACAACCCCTGACCTCCAAACGCCCGCAGTCTTATCGCAGAGTCCTATCTTCATTGACTGTTTAACTGTTTAGTTAGTTAAAACCCCGTTGTAATCAGAAGTCGGAATTTATGAAACCTGACGTCATAAATGTTCACATAGGCATAATCAGTGGGAGTATACGGCTTCTGACGTTGGCACTGATGCTTAAATAGTCAATTAAAGAAATCTAAATTATGCAAATGACAAACCTGCGACATACAAACCGCTTCCGTCTCCACAGAACACTCTCCCTGTGAAACTTTACTTCAGTAGACTGTGACATAGGGAGGTTTCACTGTTAATATCTACGAATATGTAAGTTCAGTGAGCGTGAATTATTAGCTCATAGGCTCATAGGCTGGAGACATCCATCAGACAGCAGCTCATGAGGCTTAAAACCCGCTACCTTTGACAGAAGAATCAGCTGTGGTCTACAGCATACCATACCACGACTGCACTGCCAGGTATGTCGGTGAAACGGGCAGACGCCTTGGTACAAGGTTGCATGTGCATCAGCTGGCAATCAACCGCGAGGAGTAGCTGTCTTTGGTTTATGACCACGTAACGCAGAAGAAACCCACATTCGCCTTTGAAAAAGCAAGGGTAATAGGCCGAGCTAACAACAAGATGACCAGATTGCTGCTAGAAAGGTGGTCCTGGACTGGCACACTAAACAGAGCCATGGACCTTCATCCCGCCTACC